TTCAAGCAGGTATTAAGGAGCTTCAGAGCCAGCTAATGCACATTTCCATGGCACGCTTCCATGGCCTGAAATAAACCTCGGAAAAACATGGAACAGCAGTCGGGGGGAGGGTGGGGGGAGGACCCTGAGCTTCCATCTTTTTCCCTGCTGCAGTCCTTTTGGTACATCTTTTTTAACTTCTTTCTCCTCTCTCCCGCAGGAGACAGTTCCAAGGCTGGACCATCTGTGGATTTTACAAGTTCCATGGAACGTTTTCAGACCGCACTCTTAACCTCAGACGCTCCTATCGGATTTCAGAGGATTCAGCCACTTTTTAGCCCCAGGGTGCTGTAGGTGCTAAATAGATTATCTACATCTCTCAGCCACTACTGCAGGACTACACAGCAAAGCTCAATTTCTAATCCTGCTGAGGCTCCAACTTCTTCTGGCCATCAGGTATCCCAGGGCATGCTCCAGGAGGAAATGTTAATCTGGAGCGCTGGCCAAACTCCAGTTTAGGTAATTACATTCTGACAATTTGCATTCCCCCTGCAGTTTTTTAATGGATATGGCATTTTTTTTTTTTCCCTCCTTTCCTTACTTTATGTCTTAAAAGCAGCAGCCTGGTCGTGCTCCTGCTGTTGGGAGCAGCTGCCAGGCTTTGCAGCTGAAGTAGCTGCATTTCAGGGGTAGGTGAAGGCATCTCAGGACAGTTAAATAAAGCGCTTTTGAAGACCCCATGGGCACAAGGAGTGTTGTAACAATACACCCTACTGCTGGCCATAAAGCAGAGCAAGGGCTGGAACACAAAATCAAACACTCGGTGGCAACCAGGAAAGGAAAAGTTACCATAGGAATGGACACACAGACATAAAGGCTCTTCCCTCCCAAGTCCTAATTCTGGTTTGGAACCGGCGCAGCCCCAGCTGGGATCCAAAGAGCGAACACAAAGAACTATCAGCATCCTGCACAGGGCAACCAGATCCTGATGGCAGAAGAAAATAAGTCTATAAAAGCAGTGGAAGCTTTTGGCAAGATGCTGGAGGACAATGCCTGGGGGTTACATGGGGTGAGGGAAAGAAATGCCTGTTCCCTTGTTAATGAGGGCACAGTTGGTTTTTTTTTCTTTTTAATTTTACCTGGCTGTGTAAAAGAAAAATCACGAGGCAAGAAATGGGGTAGAAAGTTTTGTTCAAGGTGGAATGTTATGGATCAGCCCTGGAGCACATCGAGTGGCCCCACCAGATGTTTGACTAAAAATAAACATTCCAGATAAAATTAATTAAATTATTGTATTACCACAGAGTCACAGAATGGTTTGGGTTGGAAGGGACATTAAAGATCATCTCTTTCCACCCCCCTGCCATCACGCTTTGTTTATAAAACCAGACATAACCACACCATGTTCTTTCCTTCACAAAAACCGCAATGCCCAAAAAGGGTCATTTTCATATTTCAGCAATATGGAAGTAAAGTTTTGAGAGATTCGTGGAGCATTTCCTCCTCCCCCAGTATGTCCCAGTTCATTAGCAACCAAAGGCTGTTACTAGCACTGGGTGAACATTTTTCACAAGTAGTTTGTTGACCAAAATATGGTATCCCCCATCCCCAAAAATGACCAGCAAATGAGTTTCAGTAGGACAGGCAGCTCCTGGCTTTGGTGGAGCTCGATGTGGTGTGTGTGGGTAAAGGTTTCCTTCCTCTTCTGCCTGTAACAGCTCACAGCAATTCCATAGTAATCCTGCAGCAAAAGAAATTATCTAAATAAATCTTATCTACAGAAATAATTAAAAAAAAAAAAAACCAAAACCCTGACAGACTTCCACACTGCAATGGGCTTGGAAATTTCGGAAATTTCTGAGTTTCTCTTCAGAAAGACGCAATCCAGAGAAGGAAGCAGCAGCCCCAGCCTGGTGACAGCCAAGGAAAACTCCGAGTGGATCTTGGCAACGTCCCACTAACGGCACAAAATACCAGCACTGCCTCTTTGCTTAAGGCTCCCTCCCCTTCCAAGCCCTGCTGCACTGAGGGATAAGCTGCATTTCTGTAAAATTCCCTGGAATTCCTCGACTATTACAGCTAACCACGCC